CCATCGACTATTATTTCTAAATAGGTTGTGTATCTATATATATACATATTATACTGCTGTCAGTGCGAACGTTGCCCTGAATGGATGATTGACCCGTGTATTTAAATAGCCGATTTACACCTCGTTTGCATTGTATTACACCGTTAAATGATCAAGTATCAGTGTGGAAGCTACCTTATCACAAGAAGGAGAATAAATTGAGATATAGAATTGTAAATGGGAAATATTAAGTGAGCAGCAAGTTATGTTGATCTAAGAATTATAAGCAGAATACAGACACTAGAATCAGAATTTAAAAAAATTTATATTTTGGTAAAACATTCTAAAGCTGGTTATTTTGTCCAAAATGTTTAATATAGTTTTTATATCACCACGAATCATTGTGTACAATTGTGTAGTGAGTGTGTCCCCCTGCTAGTAAATCAGCACCTTCCCTAACTTGCTATACTGAGAGATATATCACTCAGGACTGAAACTAACTACATACATTTTGCTTAATCAACCACAAACCATTTTGTATTTCTGGAATTATCAATATCAGGAAATATGGTAATTGTGAATCAAGAAAATGTAACCATAACCATGATGACAGGTACATAAATTATTTTTATGTTTATAAAGATATTTTTTTTTATTTTTTTTTAGATGTGTGTATTTTTTCTAACAAGTATAAAAGCAGCCAGGTGAATGACAGATTAAAGTCAATGCATTGCAAATCAAAAAGAAATCTCAGTGAACTGCTAGTGGGAATATTTGTAAAATCCCCCATTTTCAGGGTTATTCACTAAAGTGAGAATTCAAAGTAATTCTCATATTTAAGGTCAAAATAGTCGAACTGGGAACATTCTTAGTTATCTCAAGTATGCTTTTACTTCGGCTATTCTGACCTTAAATTCGAAATTTAGAATTCTCACTTTAGTAGATAGCACTGTTTGTGTCAAATTCTCCCAAACATACAAATTGGGGCAGTCAATAATTTACTCCCTATGCTTATAAAACGTTCCCATTAGATGTAATTATATGATTTAACATAATTTCTAGTGCCTTAATTATCTGCTTTACTTCCATTATTTAATCTATAAATACCTCATCATAACAAGTATTCACAATGTATAAAAGTCTATATTTTTAGCCATAAGATGTTTAAACAGCAAACCCATCAGTGCTGAGTACTCATTTAATGACACAGGAAATGTTTAGCAAATATCTCCTCAATGATCAATTTTTGTTCTTCCCCTTATCAATATCATCACATAGTTACTTGTTCTTACCATTATTTCAAAATAGTTTCTTAGCGAGTCCTGTGAAAATGTTATATGAATTAAACGTGTTGTTCCACTATCACCTGTTTTAAATTAAGGGGCCATATTTTATTTCAAAAAGTTATCTCTCCAGGCATTTTTTATTAAATCAGCTGACAGTGAACATGTAGCATTTAGACCTAAATCAGGGAGTTGGGAATAGAATAGAATTGGGAAATATTCGAAATTTAAATCTGAGTGCTAAAAGTTTGGCTACAATAGTTGATTTGGTAGAAAATAAATCTCCAACTAAGCTATAGTAACAGCATGGCTACTTTGGCCTAAATTTTACCAGTCATTATCCAACACACCCTAACTCACTGTTTAGTGCAGGCATAGGTAACCTTCAGCACTCCAGATGTTTTGGACTACACCTCCCATGATGCTTTGCCATGATTATGGGTGTAAGAACATTATGTGGGATGTAGTCCACACCATCTGGAGTGCCGAAGGTTGCTTATCCCTGTGTTTAAACTCATCCCTGTACTGCATTATTGTCAGTATGTTTTAATAATTGAAATCATTTAGCAATCATATCCCTGTTATTTATTTAAGTTACACACCATAATCACACAATTATTACATATATGTTTAGTCTAACAACTGGAAATGATCGAGTTGATTTTGACAAAAATGTTGCAGTTACATTCTTCCTGTTAAAAAAAAATAAAAATCTGGATAATATTACATTAAAAAAAAAAAAAAAAAAAGGTCTTTGACAAGAAAGTGGAACAGTGAGGAAAAACCTGGTATTGCTCAGGCTGAAAATAATTTTGATACTATAGCTTTGGAGGTAGGAATATGGCTTTCTGTTGGATTATATCTGTTTTCTTTCTTTAGGGTAAGATTGGTGATATGATTAAACAGAAATCCCAAAGCCCTATAAATTAGCTAGATAGTGCATCTAAACCCAGAGAACAAAATTGACATTTGATATGCTTAGCACAGAGTGATCCCTAATTCCTTACAATATCACATATTGCTTTCAATAATAACATAGGGGAAGGGGCTTTATGCTAAGACAGGGTATTTAAAAACACATCTCACTGTGTCAATTAGTAACAAATCCTGGGACACCCTAACCTGCATCATTACTCTACAGACAGTAGGCTAGTGAAATTGTTATGGCGTTAGCCTGGCAAGGTAATAACAATGCGATATAATATCACCTTATTAAACAGAGAAAGGGGAGGTAATTATCTCAATCGTGTTTTCACGAGATCTTAACACACAGGAAACTCCAATAGCCTTAATGTGTCAAATTATCATGCAATTAAAGTTGGTATTTGTCACATTCCTTTGGGAACCTACTAAGGCCAAGAGCAAATAAATACAACACAATGTAACATACTATTATTACAGCACTTTATAAAATAATGGATAAATAAAATGTAACAGTGTAGTGTGATTTATAAACGTGTTATAACTACTTTTAGGTTATCTATACAGTGTATACAGTTGGCCAATAAATGTTTATAATGAAAATATTTATATACATTAATAACAAAGCATACTTTTCTGGTTAAAGAAAACATATCAATGATTTAGTACGAGCAGAGTTTATTTTTATAAACAATATTACCCTGATGAAGTTGCATTTGACATGTCAGTTGATAAATTTAAATATTTAAATTTATTATATTCTATTAATATTTTATAATAAGACGTGTGCATAAATGTATGTGTAATAGTACATGCCCAGGGGTATATTTACATTTTAAGGCACTATCCTATTTAAATGTAAATCAATTCATTTGATTATAATTGTATTTATTTGCAGTATTTTATTTGCAACATGTGCTTTGTTAAACATTTAAGATCGTTAATAAAAAAAAATATTTAAAAACATTTTTTTAAATGTGATTGAAATGCACATGATGATTGATCTGTTTTCCCTTTAACATAGGGGGCCTGCATCCTATATGATTTATAAAGCATTAATGCCACTGGAGACATATATGTGTTAGTGTTAGAAACTATTTTACTGAGGTCCACTGGCAATTAGTAAATGTTTGTTAGAGTCCTGATCCTTTCGATCTTTATGTCCTTTTCTATCCTAACAGGATGTCAGTCCAGCTGCCACGATGTCATCAGCAATGTGTATTTAAGCTGTGCCAGTCTCACCTACCGCCGACCATCAGCACCTTATGCTCTACCCCTCCCCTTGGCTCAGTTGGTATTCCAGTCAGGAAATCTTCACCTGCAACCTCTTCTTGTGTGTGAATTCTTACCATTTAATTCCAGACGAATGGATCTTTCCAACAGAATTTTTTTTTTTTTTTATGTAACATTTATTTATTTCAGAGTGTGTGTGCAATAGATAATAATAGATCGGTATCTAAATATAATTATAATTGCTTTTTCTAATATATATATATAATATTTTTTTTTTACAAAAAGCAATAGATGACCTATAAAAATATTACACCTAGCTATACATAATATAATATTATTAAACAATAGTAATATTATTAATAATACAACATGAATCACATAAATCAAGTTACGAACACTAACCTCATGTATGCACATATATAAATCGCCAAGAAGAACATACTAAGAATATAAGCAGCATAGTAAAATTCAGGACAGCTGTGCAGACAGAGTGCGTGGTTGGCTACAGGGTCCATTTCTTGGTCCTCAGAGTAGATAGAGAGCTGTGAAATCCTTCATCCCGTTGCACCTCTAAACAGTTTAACAGCTCCCAATATAAAACCTCTCAACCTATAAAAAGGAAGCCTTAACTTTTTATTAAGGTGCTAAACTGAGCTGGCTCTGGTAAAATGACCAATCTTCCCTGGCTTTTTTGGAACGGGAAAAGCTTTGCCTGTGTGATAAAAATATATATACTGCAATTAGGTGAAAACCTGACTTATTTAATATGAATATTATTGTATAGAATTATGAAGGGGTCAAAAAGTCTCTAAATGTGATAAACCAGTTGTCTATAGAAGAGGACTTTTAGTCTATCTGTCCCCAGATCCATGTCCATTTTCCAGTGTATTTTATAGGGTTAGATCTGCTTTCCCTTAAAGTGTTATTTTTTATTTATTTTTTTATTGTCCATTTTGAAATAGCAGCTGCTTGTCATATTTTTTAAAATACAGACCAGTGCTTTTATATAAAATGGAAACACCTAATGACAGTACTATAATACAGGCAATAATAGCGAAAATAAGAACAATACAAGCAAAATGTGTTTTTCTACTTTATTGCATATTAAACAAAAGTCTGCTAGGCATCATGGGACATGTAGATACAAATAGCTGGATTGTCATAGTAAACTACATGTACTTTAGATAATTTAAACACCACTTTCTAAATTGTTATACTGTATACTGTGTTTATACAGGGCCTTTAATATTCTACAAGAAATAATGTGGGTTTTTTCCCCCTTAAAGATGAGTTTACTGCACTCACCAAGAGTGAGAAATCAAACTAATTCCCAGACAGTTCCTCTCACTGGATGCTACATGAGCTCATTTGTACTGTGAGTGCAGCGTTATCAATGGGACTGGAGGTGTGGGGTGCTAAGGGATAAAAGTAAAGATCAGAGTTACAATCCCTGCAAGTTCAATCTGTCCTCACAGCCTAATTTGGAAGTGGGTCCGGATCTGGGTTAATCTCCCTGCAGTGATTGGCCAGATCTGTTGGTGATTGGCACTTCATTTGACTCCTCCCTGTCCAGTCGCTTTATTGTCAGTAATGAGCTCTACTGCTTGCAAGTGCTGACAGATCAAGGCTACAAATTTCAATTACAAGCTCTAATGTGTGTCCTGCGCGCTCTGTAACCCGTGTCAGTCCTTCCTGGCCCGCCAGACGAGGCAGATCTTGCAACAAGAAAGGGGGGAGTGAAGGGAAGAAGCAGCACAAGTTATCCAAGTGCTGGGAGAGATTTATTATTTTTGAGGAGAGTGGGACAGAACATTAGGGGATTCCATGGATTCTCACAGAGCTGGATTCTGATCCCTGACCAGTTGTCAAAGGTTGTCTATGCTAAACCTAGAGCTTTGCTCTCTAGAGGGTGGCTGTGTTCAGGGCTGGCTGTGGGATTCAGACTGGGAGTAGAGGAGAACCGTCGGCTGAGCACACAGAGGAGGCATGGCAGACAAGAGAAGGTCCCCCTGCACCATGAGTCTCAAGGCTCACGCTTTCTCGGTGGAGGCTCTCATTGGGGCTGAGAAGCAGCAGCAGAAAAAGAAACGCAGGAAGCTGGAGGATGGATCCGGGGAGAGGGGCTTGACGGAGGGATCTGATCTGCCCCCTGGACAACTACAGCCATCTGGTGCCACCGAGCTGGATCACTCTGTGTGCAACTTGCTTGGGTCCTGTAAGTTTCCTTCTATACCTTATAGAATGGCTAAAAAACTGTGACAGGGGCCACCTCTGATAGTGTACTGTAATGCCTATGACTGTGTTAAAAGAACAATATGGGGGGTGGGGGTTCGTTAAGTAGAGAGAGTAATTATGGAACAAAGTTCTAGAACTTGGACCCAGACTTACTCTTAATACATAGCCTTAACGTTCTAAAAGTGGAGCAGTCACCATGGAAACCATTCGAATGTTTCCACTCAGTGCTCCACTTTTAGAACGTTGCCCCAAATCGCAATTTCCTATAAATTATGTTTATATATAAATCATCTCATATGGCATAATGATAATACAGTTTTGTTCTTGTTTTTTTAAGTTTGGCTTTGTAGTTACAGTTTAAAAATATATATATAGTTTAATTGGTCACTCTTTTGATAGTGAGTGTTATATAGCTTTGGTAACACATGCAATCCTTAAATGTTTGTCATTTCTCTGAGTTTGTCAGTGGCTCAGTATATTCATAGTGCAAGTTGGTAGGTAACCAGAGAAGTTTCTGTGACCTTAGAGGTCCCTGTCAGATGAAACCTGATTTTCCTTCGATCTATCCTTAATGTCCGGCTTGGACTAATTATTCAGTGTATTACACGTTTTCAACATTTGTTAACAAGATGTGACCTTGTCAAGAGAACAACATTTGATTTTCAGCCACATTATTACAACTGCAATTAATTTCCCCCTCTCCAGATTTAATTTAGTATTAATTGCTCTTTTTTTATCAGTCTTATATTCAGAGAGTTAACACTGAAAATTGATTCGAATAAGATATGAATCTATATATCGGAATAGCACAAAGATAGATAAATAAACGTTTGATTTCGATTCGGTTTCTTTGTTTTTGTGTACTCTTCCGGGTTGGACAGATTTAATGGAAACTCTGATTTGTTGTTTTGGATTATGAAATCTGTTTGCTTCAATACTCATCAGGATTTAAAGCTCGAAATATAACTCTTTGGACCGGTCCTTGGCGATAATGTCGATAAATAATTGCATTAATATTTTATTTTGTAAAATAATTGAGAATTAAGTAGATTAAATATTAACATTGAAGAGATGAATATCAACAAAACGAAGGATTCCATCTGCAATCATTTCTCTTCATTAATCTTTAGTTAAATATTTACTTGGATGTTCTTAAATAGTGACATTTATAGTACCGTATATTGTGTACTGCTCTTTTTTCTTTTCGGTTTTACATACTCATATATCTATATCTACATATGAACTTGCATGTTTTAAATATAATATTTCACTGAAAAGTCACAACAAATAAACATCATTTTTTTGCAGATTCTTGTATTAGTCTACCGCATTATATTCTGAATAAAGCTTCACTCTCTCTCTTTCTCTCTCTCTCTCTCTCTCTCTCTCTCTCTCTCTCTCTCTCTCTCTATCTGAATAAATCGAAGCTTAATTCAGAATATTATAATATATATATATATATATATATATATATATATATATATATATAAAGCTATATATATAGAGGTATACAAATATATGTATATAATATATTATATATTTTTATATATTATAATATATATGTGTGTGTGTGTATGTATGTATGTATGTATGTATGTATGTATATATATATATATATATATATATATATATATGTATATTATATCATGTTGGTATATAGAAACTCAGTTTAAAAAAGCTCAAGATGATATAGAACTTTAAGAAGCTGTTTGGAATAATGAAATAATGCTGCAATTAGAAACTAAGTTTTGTGTATACTATTTATGTATCACTGTTTACAATTGTCTTTAAAGTTGTGCGTTCATTTCAGTTATGAGCACTTCAGTCAATACATATAGAATATGTTTCTTTTTTTTCCCTTAGATCGGTATTTTAACACATTTTCAGTTATACATGTTATTAATCTCTCCTATTAAAGAGTTACATGGATGTGTACTTTTAACATTTGACCAATGTAGCCTAATATTTTACAATGTAGCCCAAGTAAACCTGTAAAAGATAGATAGATAGATCAACAAACAGTAAAGGTGACTCATAATGTAGCAAGATTTAAATGCAATATCAATTCATTCAAGTAAACATAGACATATATGCAGTGCAAATGAATTGTAATAATATATTTTCTCATATTTAAAAAAAGGGTTGAAAATAAAGTAATGATATATTAACTAAGAATATCACAATATAATTGTTCTGTATGTCTATCTGTCTAGCTATCTATGGATTATTCTGACCATGTAGAGTGCTACATTTCCATTCAGACAGTAAGATGATGAATGCAGTGCAGGTCTGTTGTAGTGTGTACTTTCTCATGCTATCTATGTGTGATGCCTGACCCCCAGCTCCCAGTGAGGATGCCTATGGTCCGGCGAAGGCAGCTGCTGGCACGTGTAGCTCTCCCCTGTCCTCCCCGGTGATGGCGGCCCCCGTGGTAGCTCCTCCTGTGGCCCGCGTGGACCTGCAGGGTGCAGAGCTGTGGAAGCGCTTCCATGAGATTGGTACCGAGATGATCATCACCAAGGCCGGGAGGTGAGGACATTCAGCCTCTGTTACAGTGGCCAAACCAAGTGTGAGATCAGCCAGGGACCTGCTATCCATCATCATCTTGCTGGGATGATTGGAATGCTCCTGCCTGAGAAGGTTATTGACATCCTCTTGGGCTGGCTATGGCCCTCACATGCACTCCCAGTACACTTTTATTTTTACCATCTCATGTATTTTTGGACACACACTATACATGGTTAATCACTATATTACCTCCAACTAGCCACACTAAGGTGACAATTCCCAGGAATTCAAAGTGAATTCAAAATGAATCTGAAAAGTAAGACCAAAATAGCCGATTGAGATCCATTCTCGCAGCCAATTCTGTATTAAGTTTTTCTATTTGGCCTTACATTTCAAGTTCACTTTGAATTCTAAGCAATTCTCACCTTTGTGAATAAACCTGATAATCTACTCATCACGGTATTGACTACTGGCCCAGAGCTCCAGCTAGCACATATTCAGCCCTCACTGGACAGCTGATATCAGATTCTCAGTCAGTGTAACAAGCTGGTAAGCATGGAGCCATGAAATCTGAACAGTCATATGAGTTCAGCACACATGCTCATCTGGGGGCTTATTTAAGCACCAGCACTCCAGCCAGAGTCCTATAGTGTTACATTTAGAGACCTAACACTGAGCCAGGGTGTGGAAGGCCAGCAGATGTGCCAAGTAACCTTCAGCTGGGTCTCAGTGTGCTGTGCAACTGAAATGACCAGGCTCAGGCCTAGTGACTGATTTACAATATAATCACCCTGTAAACCTGTAACATTAGCACCCACAAAGTGTGAAGGCAAAATACAGTTCATTGAGTATTATCTTGCCTCACTTGACAAGAGAATGGGACAAAGTGATAAAAAAAGGAAACAATCACCAAAGAAAACAGCTCATTGCTCCATGTTTAACAGTTTGTCCCAGAATATGATATAAGTTAAAACATGTCCTTGGGATAGGCATCAAACTGCAAAGGAGGGAAAATAGACAATTAGAAAAAATGGCTAATTTAGCATTTCATGTCATCTGGACTATAGACCTCCATCTCAGCTAAACTGGAGGTTTATCCCAATTTTGATATTCTGCCCTAGAATACCATTGGCAATTCTCTACAAGTCAGTGTTTAGTGAGTGCACCCCAGAGAGACACTAAATTAACCATATTTCGCTGGTGAAAGTGAATAATTGGTGGTTACAATGTGTACTGTTATTCTTAAACTCATTTAAGGAGGTTCACATAGAGATTAGCATCCATTAAGGCAAGGAGGACTGAGTCACACACCTACAGAGTTATGAAGTGTGTAGGAGAGAAATGCACTCCAGCAGTCCCAAACCCAGCCTTCTCCAGAGTTACTGCTTCATAAACTGAGAGATGCTTGAATTCAGTCATTTTCTTAGAGGACATGGTTCAAAGGCAGATGTGTAGGGGAAAAAATAAAATAAAACAAAAATCCCTGGAAATTATACAAGTAACTCAGCTTATTAAATATTGCAAAAACACATTTTATGAAATCCATATGTTAGCGTCTAGAATTCAGAAGGTGGGGAGCAATGATCTAAATGTTGTGTTCTAACTAGCACAATGCTGTGCTTGTCCAGGGTTCTTACTGCCAAACACTCTATGATACAGGTGCACAGAAAACACCCATAGACAAATACCAAGAACATATTCCTGGCTGCCATCAGTCTGTACTGTTTACCATTCACTATGGATTCAGATCATTAAAACCTGGGGGCAAATGAGACACATTATGTCTTGATTGAGTTATGATGTAGAATTGATGAAGTATTAGTTTAACCATTTTGTGACATAAGGGATGGACAAAAAAATTAGGAGAATCTCATCCTGTAGCTCAGAAAACATATTTTAATTAATAAGTGAAAGCACAGGGTATGTTCACTAAACAGTAATTTGTGATAAGAAGCAAATGACTCGAAAAAAAATAGAAAAAAAGAAATAACCGAACTGGCTTCTTTATATTGAGCAAAAAAAAAACATTAAAAAAAAAGTTTTTTGTTGTATTTAAAAAAATTTTTAAGACCGATCTTTTGGTCAAAATATCGCAAGCGTACAGCCATCTCACTTTGGTAGACAGATAGACCCCAGAAGGTACATATCCGGTATCAAAAATGATTTCTAAATTTACTTTAAATTCAATTTATTTAAATCCATAATTTGTTAGTGTCATTCCAACTGACAAGCAACATGTAACCATAATTTGTATTTATATTGAATAAGTTTAACATAATAAATAATGATACATAGGATGTCTGAACATGATATACAGTAAGATATATGGTAAGAAGGTCTAATCATAAGATATAAATCTACATGGATATAAATGCTCTGACAGTTAAATATTACACAATAGATCTAACCATAACATATAACTATAAATGATATATGATATATCTAACCATCATATATAAATATAGTATACACGTTGTATATAATAGAGTTAACAATGATATACAAATATAATTTGTCTAACCATTAATATAAACTCGCTGACAATAAGGACAGTAAAATAATCTTCTTTTATTATTGTGAAAATAAATACAATTGTGTCCAATGTGCATTCAGGTTTTTTTTTTGTTTTTTTTTTAACAAATAGTATGCTGACAGATGATTATTTTATTATTATTATTATTATTATTATTATTATTATTATTATTATTCTATAATGGGTGTTTGTTGCAGGAGGATGTTCCCAGCCATGAGAGTGAAGATCTCTGGGTTGGATTCACATCAGCAATATTATATCGCCATGGATATCGTACCGGTGGATAATAAGCGATATCGGTATGTACCATCATACCCTTTCAATTGTCCTCACTTGCACCCGCATCTATTTTTCCTCTTTCTTTCATTGATTATTTCTTTCTTTCTTTCTTTTTCTTTCTTTCTTCACTCACCTCTCTTTTTCCCTACCACCCCCTTTCCTGCCCCATCTCCGCACACCTCTCTCCTTTTTCTCCTCTAATCCTCTCCTTCTATCTATCTCCACTCTTTCTTTTTTCCCTCTTTCCCTCAAATACTTTCAAATCATTTTTTTTCTAAGCGTGAAGGTGTGAAAATATAGTACACAAAGAAATAGTATTAACACCAAAAGCAGCAACAATAAAGCCAGTTATCGCTAACCTAGTAAAACCATGGGATTTAGCTGTAAAAGCTCCACCAGTAACATGGTAGAGTGCCAATCCGGAGTGGAATTCGGAGTAATGTGTGAGCTGTTCTACTCTCTGTAGCTGTAATTCAGTTGAGTATTTTGGTGATTGAATTAGTTGTGAATTATAATTACCCGTGCCTTTTTTGGAATTCCTTGCTTAGATGTGTGACAAGTATTGATGTCCACATTAATTGGTCTTTTCAGTGTTGTCGAAAATCTGAGACCCTTTTCTCTATAATCCACAAACCAAAATGACAAGTGGTTGAGTGAAGTGGTTTCCTAATCCGAATGCCTCTAATTCCCTGTTTACCTACTACATTAAGAGGTTTATTCACTAAACAGCAAAATGAAGACATTTTATAACAGAATTGTAAAATTTTGTCTAAATTGCCAAATTGCTGTGACTATTGCTGAATTGGGAGACATTTCCCAACTTAGCATTGACCAAGATACATTGATCAATGTTATGGATCATTTATACTAAAATCACAACCACTAGTATGTTTTATAGTAAAACTGCAGATCTTTAAAAAAAAAAAAAAAAAAATCAATGGGTTAAACGTCGAGTTGGAAAAACATCATCACCTCAACAAGAGTTTTAACTATCCACAGTGAGCTTTATTTTTTTAAATTTTTTTTTAAACACTTCATTTTTAACCACAACTCATTTAAACTCACACAATATCAAGTTAAAAAAATATTAACATTGCTTATAATAACCATAACGAAAGACCTGCAAAGCAACGCTATTAGACTTAGACTGTACTCCAGTTATTAAAGCGCCAACATAATCTGGAGTAAGGTACAAGTTTACAATGATAAAGAATGCGTGTAACACCTATAAAGAATTGTAACAATTGACATTTCGCAAACAATGACATTTACTGTGAAGCTCAAGGATTGTAATAGTCTTACTCAAATTACTGTAGCGCCAACATAATGTGGAGCGATGTCGATATTTCACAAGTGAAAATGATCAATAATGCATGCAATCATGGATGTAATGAATGCTAGCAATATTTAAAAATAAGAGAAACTGTCAAATTAGTGTCATAATTATTTAGGTTTATTTTCCTAAGAGAAACACGTTGCTATATAATGTCTCACTATATAATATGTGCAATATATCCCTGTAACTGGGAGATTGTAACCTGGATATATCACTCACACAGTAACGTGAGTCTAGATTTCATATCCATATTTCAGAGAAATTTATTACATCACTGAAAAAGGATTGTTTTTTTTTTAAAGGTAATCGATTTGCCACGTCTACATGTATTTATTAACTGTTCCTGAGCCCCTCTGTTTATTTACTTACACTCTCCAAGACACTGTAATATGTAGTTAGCCTGTACATCATATCTTGGAGTCAGAATTTGACCTTTTACTTAACAGGGGCATTTGGAAAATTCGATTTTCTGTATCCGTAAATTAGATCTGAGTGTCTCTCTGGGAAAATATTAATTTATGGATTTCTGGTTAAATATGTATTACAGTAACACTTATTCACATGCTAAACGTGGTAACACATTATACAAAATGTACATCATTGTTTCTCAGCTGTAGAACTCTTAAGGACAAAAGTATTGCAACAATGCCTACATTTAAAACAAAAATCCATTAAATGTTGCATTTTTTTTTTCATACTGCTTTGTATTGTTAGAATTTCACAAACAAAATACACTGAATATAAGAATTTCAACATTTAAGTCTACAACGATCATTGTGAGGTGATCTGTAAATACATGTTTAGATTTTTATATTACAAGTCCTGCATCTCAGCATAGTATTGATAAAATGAGCACAGCAGGAAATGATTGTTTAGAGATATTATTAATATTATTTAATGATTATAGCGCCAACAGTTTTAGTAGCGATGCATATATTGGAATGAGTTTTATGACACATGATTCACTTTTTGTATTTCTCTCCAGCTATGTGTACCATAGTTCAAAGTGGATGGTAGCTGGCAATGCAGATTCCCCGGTACCCCCACGTGTGTACATCCACCCAGACTCCCCTGCGTCAGGAGAGACCTGGATGAGGCAAGTGATCAGCTTTGACAAGTTGAAACTTACTAACAACGAGCTGGACGACCAAGGCCACGTAAGTATCCCAGTTAGATAATGGAATCAAAAGGCAATTTGTGTTTCCTATCTGCATTGTCTTCATTGACTTACATGATGATGGTAAAGATTGTGTGTGGGGTTTTTTTTTTTAATCGGGGATATTCACTAATGAGTGAATTGTCAGAAATTCAAGGTCAATGTTAGATTTCAGGCAAAATAGTTAACCTGAAAAAATGCATAATTTGAAATAGCCAGCGATTTTGGCCTACGATTGAAAAACCTCGACCTCAGCTATACAGCTTAGATATGTTAGCTCACATTTTTAAAATCAGATAGAGATGGGTATATTCACTAAACAAAACATTCCAAGGAATTGAAAGCTGTATTGCAAAATTTAGGTGAAAAGTGATTATTTGAAAAAATACTTCAAATCTGTTATAGCTACAGCTGGTCAATATTAGCCCCAAAATAGCAAATTAATTTTTAGTTCAGGACAATTCTTGTTTGAGTGAATAAACCATAGAATCTCCTTTCTGAAACACTGCAAATACCAGGGAGACATAATTTACTATAAGGATTTATTCACTAAACAGTAGTTTGTTATTGTAGTGATTTAAAATGGAACTGCAAAATTTAGGTCAAAATTGCAGAGTTGTGAAAATTCTTCATCTCAGCTAGAGGCAAAGCCTGGATTTGAAATACCAGATTTGGAAACAACATCTGCAGCCAAATGGAATTATATGTCATACCAGCTATTTTTGGCATACTATTTGCTATATGGTGGTTAAATAACACAGTCAGTTTTTAGTAAAGATACTCAGATATTTTATTTTTGCAGATCTGTAGTTTCTCTATAAATGAAATTAAAATTGTAGCAGCAATATATTCTCACCCCACCCACAAAATTCCTTTTACAAGAGCCAGGATTTCTACAAAAATGACTCTGGGGAATTAAGTAATATTTTTACAGTCGTCACCGGGATTAATTTTTAGAATATCAAATAACTATAAGATCTATTTGCACAATCGTATTTTGCAAAGAAAAAAATTCATTTTCATTTAAAAAAAATATTAGGAATAAAATTCAAAGCAGTTCATCTAGCCTTTTTAAACCGTGTTCTTATCTATTGCTTTAGTAGTTGTTGTTATTATTATTATTATTATTACTATACTTTAGTAAAAAAAAGGGCCAACACATTTCGCACAAGTACAATTGGTACAAGTATAACAAGAAAAAGTACAAAACAAACAAGACAATAGAAAATTTGACAAACCAATATGATGAGCTGAGAGCCCCTTTCCTGAGAGAACTTACAATCTTGTAATGCCAAAACATCCATACAAATATAGCCCTCCTGTCTTTATCCATGGAAACATGGTGCACAATTCTTTACATTATGCTTCTGGATACATTTACTGTTCACCGTTCCTTTTTCTTATCTTTTGTACTGAAATAGTTCACCCATCGTCTATTCTCCCTCACCTGTTCAATTTACAGTCTCATTGAAGTTTTCAATTGTGCTACTACTAATGTGATTGAATTAACTCGTGTATACTGATTTACTGTAATTTGTGAATCGTTTTTGCAGTTCTTTCGAATTCTTGTGGAAATGTGTTAAAACGTCCATAAAAAAATTGAGTTTACTAAATTATTAACATAAATAAGATATAATCAGGCATAATATTTTATTTTCATATTTAGCATCTAATTTGACAATTTTATTGTATTCATTTTATTCTATTTCATGTACTAAAATAATTAGCACATTTGTTACCAAATTTCCCACACTGATATAACTCTTTTTGCTGGTGCACTGCGACCGTACTGTAGTTTTGTACTGCTGTGTGTTGCTGCTACATTTTTCAAAACATTATTAAATTACCTAGTTTATATTGTTACTATTACTCTACCTGTGTTTTAATGACTTGCTATGTGTTAAACCTTTTGACATATTAAATTGTTGTGTTTATTTTAATATCCCAATTAGTTGAAATGTCTACTTGCACATCACAAGGTGTGGATTTAATAAACAATGTGATTTTGGCAAATAACTTATAAAATCTAGGCTGAACAGCAAAGCTGGATAATTTGTTTTCCCAGCTCTGTTATTTTATCAAAGATACGGAAATCTTAATAGATACTTGGAATATGGCTGCAAGTTCCTTCATGTGTATATAGGATGTAGTCATGAGTTGTGATTACGTGATGAATTGTGAGAACACTTATGTGATGATGGAGGTCCAAAGTGTTGATATCTTGGATGTGAGCATGATTAGAGGATATGTCTTTAAGGGCAAATAAGGAAAAAAGGGTTAATGGAGGGAGAGATTTGCAACTGGTATGAAGGATGTTGTTATGGGACCTTTGGTTTAAGTAGGTTTTACAGCCCCTCCCACACCTGCTGGCATTTTAAATGAGTAATGGATATCCGAACTGGTGTTTTTAATTAGAGCTTAAATCCCCAACAACATCTGCAGGCATTGCCATGTACAATGTGCACTAGGCGTTTGCAGTTTAGCCAATGCATTGTACATGAAACATCCAATCTGTAAATTTTCCATGTTTCTATCTTATATACTTGCAAACTCTTCTACTGCATTTTACTTTACCACTGCAGCTTGAAATCTATTCCATATTCCATGTCACTATTAGCATCTTAGACTACATTTTTACAAGATTTTTTTTACATATCACTTGCCTTAATGTGTACTCTAGGAGTTATTACTAACCTGTAGTGGAATATATTTCTCTGCCAGAAGTCTCTAGTTACTAATTTAATGCTTTGCAACTGTGCTGAAAATGTCCCCTTACCCCCTGCTTCCAAACAGTAAAGAAAGTTTGAGTGGGTCTTACAATTCCTACAGTCAGGGTGGGGGAAGGATTGAATAGGCTCTACTTTTTACTTTTGCATTAGCATTCCAGCGAGTTATTAAGGTGTCAAAAACACTTTTAAATACCATTATTTAGGGGGATTTTACTGTATTTACTAAAATGCTAAATATTCTTTATACATTTTATTTACATTTTCAGTAAGATGAACTTCTAGTAATGTCATCAGGGTCCTTATAAATACATATAAGCAGGCAGAATTATTTTTATCTATTTTGTCACACATACTGTATGTGAGAATTTTTTTTTCTATTTCACACAATTTCAGGGCTGCGTGAAAGATTGCAGGAAAAATGATACTACTCAATAAATACTATAAAGCAAGCATGTCAAATTCGAATATCTTTGCGGCCCAGTGAGCTGCAAGTTTGAAATGTTAAGGCAGAGTAGGCATCTGCTCTCCCCACATTGCAGGTGCCTACTCTGCTAAAATTTACGCGGCCGGAGGGAGAGGTTACTGGCGGCAGCGAAGGAGCTCAGTCTTCCTGCTCCCCACTGTTCCCTCTCACGCGCCCTCTGTAGTGATGCTGGGTGCCGGAATATTACGTCATTCTGGCCCGGTATCACTATACTGTGCGTGTGAGGGAGCAGTGAGGAGCAGGAAGGGAGACCCCTGGGAGAGGCCCCACATCAGCTCCCAAAGGTAGGTGGCAATAAATAAAATGATTTGTGAGTGTTTGCATGCATATTTCAGTGTGTGTGTGTTGTCTGTCAGTGTGTCTGTTTGTCAGTGTGTGTGTGTGTGTGTGTAGAGGCGATGACTGGGGTTTATAAGGTCTTTTAGCCCCTAGAGAACCTGACACACCTATACATGGGTGGTATCACTGTACTTAGGAGATGTTGCTGAACACATATTGGGGTGTTCTTTGGCAGTAATCCTTAAAGTTCTCAGTCCATATATTCTTAAATTGCTATGTGTGTCAAAAAAAAATCACAAATTATTATTTTTATTTTAAATTTGGCATAGATTGGAGGTAAAATGGTTGAATGAAAAGAGTGAAAATACCCCAAGTTTAATACCTTAGGTTGTCTTTTTAAAAAATAAAAATAAAATATATATATACATGTGAAGGGTTATTCAGGGATTCCTGGCAGATATCAGTGTTACAATGTAACTTGCGTTAAATTTGAAAAAAAAAAAAATGGTTTGGAAATAGCAAAGGGCTACTTGTACTTATATCCCTATAACTTTCCAAAAAAGCTAAGAACATGTTAACATTGGGTATTTCTAAACTCAGGACAAAATTTAGAAACTATTTATCATGGTGTTTTTTGGTGGTTGTAGATGCGTAACAGATGTGGGAATCAAAGTTAAAAAAAAGTGTGTTTTTTACATTCTTTCATCATATCTTATAATTTTTTTATAGTAAATTGTATGACATGATGAAAACAATGATATCTTTAGAAAGACCATTTAACGGCAAGAAAAACTGTATATTATATGTGTGGGTACAGTAAATGAGTAAGAGGAAAATTACAGCCAAACACAAACACTGCATGAAATGTAAAAACAGCCCTGGTACCAAACGGTAAGAAAATTGAAAAGCGGTCTGGTCACTAAGGGGTTAAAGATTAAAGAAACTCTAATCTAATGGGTAAATGACACATTCATTAAAGGAACAGTATATGGTCAGGAATACAAACATGTATTCCTGACACTATAGTGGCTGGAGTGACTATTTTGGGCTCAGGCCACCTTTAACGTAGATCTCACCATGGCTGGCCTCGCCTCCATGAGAGAGAAACTGGGAGACACGGTAGATTTCTTAGAGCTCTGCCCACAGCATTACTAAAGTACTATGTAAATGTGAAAACTTTTAGCAAATGTATAGTTGGCAACATTTGGAATTTTTAAATTTCAATGTTCTTAGCAGTTAATGTTCGGTATCATTGCATTTACAAGCCTTATATTTCATTTCCTTACACACTCGTGAATGAGAATTAAAAGTTTGTTCTACAATCATCAGTTTCAGATCAATAAATCTATTTAAAATAAATGTAACACTTATAATTGACATATATGTATTCAGGAGAGTTGTAGGTGGCATTACACATGTATTGTCCTAAGCCCCTCCTCAAACATGATCCTATCTCAAATCATATGTGTATATATATATATATATATATATCTCCTGATCTCTCCCTGTCCCTCTTGACTAGTGTCTCTGACTGCCTCTCTGCTATTTCCAACTGGATGGCTGCCCACTTCCTTAAACTCAACTTGACCAAAACTGAAATTCTGGTCTTTCCTCCCTCAAGTGTTGCTACTCCTGTGTCTTTCTCCCTCCAAGTGAATGGTGCTACCATCAGCTCCATCATGCAGGCTCAATGCCGGAGTCTCTTTGACTCCGACCTCTCCATCACGCCTCATGTTCAGTCTAAAATATTGTGCGCGTCCGACCCTACTTAACGCCAAATGCGACTAAGGTGCTGGTCCATTCCACTGTCCTTTCCCGCCTTGACTACTGTAATCCGCTTCTCAGTGGTCTTACATGCTCCCAACTTGTGCTGTTACAGTCCATAATGAATGCGGAGGCGAGGCTCATCTTCCTCTCCGCCCTCACATCCCACACCTCACCCTTCTGTCAGTCACTACATTGGCTTCCTGTAAATTCTGGTTCTTGCTTTCAGATCTCTAGATAATGCTGCTCCCACCTATCTATCCTCCCTAATACACAAGTATGTCCCATCTGGGCCCTTACACTCTGCTGAAGACTTATGTCTATCTTCTGTCTGTACTCCCACCTCTGATGCTAGCCTTCAAGACTTCTCAAGGGGTGCACCGTTCTTGTGGAACTCACTTCCCTCCTCTGTTAGATGCTCACCCAGTCTCCACTCCTTCAAAAAATCATTAAAAACCCACTTCTTCATAAAATCATATCAATTAAACTGTTAATAGCTCCCGACTGATTCCTCTCTTGCAACTGTCATTAGTCTAATACTATCCTTACCTTTTGTGTCACTTTACCCCACTCCCTCTAACATGTATGTATATATGTAGTGCTGGGGAGCATTGAGAAAACTGGCCTTGGTGCAGGAAAGAGGTTAAATCCGATCTGAGAATATTTGTGAATATATATGCAGAGTATCCATGTTATGAGAGATGGCATGATATCCAAAAAGTTAAGGCCAGGACATACTGTTAGAAAATTATATTATATGTAACATACAAAATCCAGGGCATTCACTCACTAAACAGCAATTTCAAAGCTCAATATTTTTTTTTCTAAAAACACCTAACCAAGGCAAAAATAATGGAGGTTAGTTACACTATTTTTATATATATAAAAGCATACTAGTCCTCATCAAATTTATGGGGAAAAAAACAATCATGTGGTAGGTCCGAAAAGTAAAGTTGCAAAACATCTGAAAAAAGAATATATATATATATATATATATATATATATATATATATATATATATATATATATATATATAAAGAGATAAACCTTGGCACTCACCCTATATTGAAGATATAATGAATACAGCCTGGGTGCAAACCTTGGCGTTGAGTATATACAAAAATATTTATTTTACATGCAAAAATACATGTGTGCAAAAATCCAGTAAATCGACGTTTCGACCCCATCTTGAAAAAGACCCTTTAGGGGTCGAAACGTCGATTTACTGGATTTTTGCACACATGTATTTTTGCATGTAAAATAAATAGAACCACATTTGAAGACCTGTGAGTGCACTTTTTTGTATATATATATATATATATATATATATATATATATAATTTAAAAAAAAAATTGAATACAGTTACCATGGGTCAACAATATATTTATTAGTTAACAACAGAAGTTTAAATACCCCCACAAAAATTATATGTAGTTTAATATTATAATTCAGTTTTAATTTTAATTTAGTTGCTACAAGTTGTAATTATAGTTTCAGAAACAGTGTTGACGGTTCCTATTTTATTAGTTTGGTGGAGTGTAAGTATAGAATAGAACTGTATGAGATCACTTCACTTAGATTAGCATTATAATTAGTTCTGAAACAGAGAAGTTTTATTGGTTGACACCTTCTGAAAAATTCTATAGAGTTGAGTGAAGAGTTAGCGCTAACAGGAAAGAATGATTCAAACTGTTTTTTAGATGCCTGTCATGTAGTTTTGTATATGCTATCATCATAATTGGTGGCTTGGTGGTTCCTCTCAATACATTTTTGTAACATGTTCATAATTGGAAACAAGTGCCTTTTTCTCTCTGTTACTGAGTGAAGACCCTATGTTGTTTTCCTGAAAACATAAGAAAAGGCAAAAAGCACCAATGAACTATAGAAACAGTTAATATGCAACGTCTATCGCAGTGTGTTCTTAATTCTTCATGCCTTCGACCGCAAATTTGAAGTGATCAGCTTTAAAATAAGTAAGTTCTATCTTTTTGAAGTTTCACAATGAAATGCAAGCCACAACTTAAAACATAGTTTTTATGGCCTCTCAACTGTGAATAATTAAGATCAGAGAAAAATTCCAAAGAAAATAATTGGAGAATAAATGTGAAATTAATTTAATCCTAATGTACTGCATTGAGACACCTATTTTACACAGCTCTGTGTGCAAGGCCTTTGAGAAATAAATTGTTAGCGTGAAGGGAAAAGCTGTTTTGTATCTCTTGTTAAAGAACAGATTTATTGCAATTCTTTTCAGATTATCCTTCACTCAATGCATAAATACCAGCCACGTGTCCATGTCATACGAAAAGATTGTGGTGATGAACTTTCGCCAGTGAAGCCAATTCCTTCAGGAGAAGGGGAGAAGGCATTCTCATTTCCAGAGACCATATTTACTACTGTTACAGCATATCAAAATCAACAGGTATTATACACAACTGCCTAAAAAATAGCATACTATCCACGAGTCCCTCAAATTTTTTGGGGAAAAAAAGAGTAACTTTGTAGGTTAGAAAAGTAAATGTTGCAAGGCACTATTAAATTGAAGTTAAAATCTAAAAACAAATATCACCTTTCACTTATCATTAACTCAAATTCCCAGAGTATACAGAGAAAAGCTGACATCAAATTATACCAATTGCTTTTAATGAGATCACTATGCATTCCCTTTAAGCCTCAGCACAGCATGGCATCTACATATTAACTATGGAGTTGAGCATATGTGATAACATTCATTCTTGAAATGAACACATGAATGAAATGATTCTGCAAGATAGTTGTAGCTGCCTTGAAACTTACTAAGTAGCTTCATTCATGTTTATCAATGGCATTAGACATTCCCCTGGTACTCTGGTGAAGTGAGTTATATAATTAAGATACGAGGAAGTAGGAAATCCTTTGATACTCAATTTAACGGGAAGGTATGATGCACTTTCTTGGCCTAGGGAACTGGTTAAGTATAGTCTATTCTTTTTTTTTTTTTTAAGGGGGGTTCTATGCAACTTGAAACACAATTTGAATGATTACTTTTGGTGTTTTGTTGATTACCAACTTTCTACATGTTAGCAATCTGGACTGTTTACAAACCTAAAGATTTCAGTGTAAGTGATTATGCAACTTAGAGCTTTGACATCATATTTTGCTTTACTTTAATTTATTCCACAAAAACAATTGTTTGACACAATGTGACATAAATGATTGTTAAAATGACAAATTAAAAGTATATGTTTTGCAGAGTCTGGCACTGATAATGTTTTCTTACAAAAATATTGTTCTTCAAAATAGGTAATCATGTTTATGAAAAAAAATGTTTTTCTTAATATCTTTTTTACTAGATAACAAGATTAAAGATTGACAGAAATCCATTTGCAAAAGGATTTAGAGATTCAGGACGTAATAGGTTAGTGATGTTTTTTTTTTTTTATCTGTTGGAAAATACTGAAAGTGTTGATGTAATATCAGATTCTGGCTAACCTGTCAATTCCCAAGAAGCAAATTATAGTGAGTTGAAAACTAACTCACTCGTGTAATTGAACTAATTGAACTGAAAAAGTGAAGATTTTGCCATCCATGCATCCAAGACTTTTGAACGTCTAAACGATGCTGGACGTCCTCACGTTGTGCGTGACGACCTCCAGTGCTTTCCTATGGGGAGATTGTAATGAGAGCACGGCCATTGCTGTAGTGGAGCCTGACCCAGCGCCGAGGGGTTTTAACCCCTTCTGCGAAGTCGGAAGAAGGACGGGAGGGAGTGGGGCACTCCAGGATTCTACAGTGCCAGGAAAATGGCTTTGTTTTCCTGGCACTAGAGAATCCCTTTAAGTAGCAATTATGCAAAAGGCATGGTACACCCCTGAATGAGGTGTCAGATGCGTGTTCTCTAATGCATTTTATTGACCCCACTCAGCCATAAAGGCTTCTTTATTCATTAAAGTATTAACCCTTTCTATAGCTTAAGTGACCAAAAACTCCCATCTTCATTTTTAGCTTTCTCACCGAAATAGTGGCCACAATGACCAAATCAAATTTCATAAAGCATTAAGACAATACAAAAATAAAGTTATTGATCCAGTAGAATATCTTTTTGTATTCATATTTGTATGTGACTAATTCACTTTAAATTATTCTTGTCACAACATCCACACAGCAAATTGACACACGCCAATATATATGAAAGTAAATCAGGAGTAAGAAATGGCATGGTTAGGTGTTATTTACACAAGGAGGATTTTTTTTCTTATTTTTTTTTCTGCTTTTATGGCTTCAATCACTGAAAAAGAGTTTATTCATTTACAAAAAGGAAATTTTTTTTTCTGTAACGTCTCACATGTGTTTGATCTATATAAAAAGGTGGCAGGCTAAAATCTGGTTTGGTTTAAGAGGTGATTTAATCTTGGCTCAGAATTAGTCTACTTACTTCTAAGACATGGGGTCCCAGCTTTAACAGTCTGTAGACTACAAGGAAATTAGGCTGAAAATAACATTAATTCCTGCAAACTAACTGCTATACATAAATTATATTGGAAAATTAAAAAACGCAGCTATTTGAAGGTATTACATATTTATGAGAGACCTTTACTGAACAATATATATATGTGTATATATATATATATATATATATATATATATATATATACAAACGAATATTCTAGATATAGATCTTTTGTAAATATGTACATTTATTTCCCCTTACTCTTTATAACCTCTAACATATTATTTTATCCTCTTCTCATTAAGCCATGACCTGTTGAAAATTAATAACCAGTCTGGTTAACACACAGATTGCTAATCAGGTTTAATATTTTGACTATTAGTATTTTTTTTAACTTCAGATGGAAAAATAACAAAAGTTTGTTGTTGTAATATAATGTTCTCAATTTAACGAGCATTCCAAATGATTCAATACTGTTAGTAAAAATTTCCAAATGATTTATCTACAAAAATTCCCATAGAATTTAATAGTGACTTCTGTAAGTTAATAATTTGGACTTTTTTTCTAAATGTAGTGAATCATTTGGAAAGCTTATTAAATCAAGGCCAGTGTTTAGTAAACATAAGATCATACAGTAATACTGAGTTACCACACACACACACACACACACACACACACACACAGTGTGTCCGTAAAGTATCTAACCATGTAATATGAAAAATAGAGACATTTATTAAAGAAGATACAAGAAACATTGTGCATATGACAATAATGCCTCAGTCCCCTTCAAAGTAGACAAAGTAGACACTTTGGGACCTCACACAGTTCTCTCAGTGTCTCATTTATACCTGAATTTTACCAACAGTGTAAAATCTCTTCCCTTTCAAAGGTGATTTTAGTTTTGGGAAAAGACAGAAGTCACAGACCATCTTTGAAGCATTTGTGCCACACTTTTATTTGTGCTGCACTCATTGCATCGTCCCTTCTGAATCATCCAAATAGTTTCCACGGAGGAATGTTCAAGCTTAACGCAAAATTTGATGTAGATTCATTGCTCTATTCGCTCACTCATTTTGAATTGGACAGCCACACATTACACATGCTCACTCAATGGCGTCTAGCACCCCCACTGACTAGTACAGTGAAGTTGTCATTCACACATGCACATTCCAGTCCACTCTCCTTGGCTGCCAGGTTACATTGATGTTGTGCAAACCGTTCTCGATATATTAACAATGGCTGGCCTTTTTCCAAACAGACCTTAAATATATTTATTTATTATTTATTTATAAAATATTTTACCAAGAAGGATACATTAAGATTTCTCTTGTTTTCAATTATTTCTGACACAAGAATCTCTTGTGTACTTGCCCATCCTAGGATGTGGTGTCTTGCCATGGATCAATTCATACCAAGAGACATACTTTGTAATTAGAACACTATTTTTCACTATTGACCTACAGTTTCTTGCTTGCGATTATGTGAATGAATATTCTCATATTTATTTTAAATTCACTTAATATTTATGTTTATTAATAGTTCAAACAAATAAAATAAATGTGTCCTTCTTTCTATTACCCTTTCAATTCCACAACAGCAATCAAAAGGGCTTGCCATCACTTCAATTTTTTTCAATTGCCAGAAACGCAGTTACTCTAATTTATTTATAGGTTTTACTAAATGTGAATTGAATTATTTTCTAGTACTGCAAAATTATTTTTCAAATGTTGCATTAATGTGGTGCTTCCCTAATTGAATTTAGATCAATAAATTAAACATTGTTATCCTCATTGTATTATTTGAGAAGTATTATGAATATATAAAATGCAAACATTACAATTTTAAAATACTGATGGTTAAAAGGGCATTTTTTTTAGCATGCTAACCACTACAGTGGTTGTGGTACCTGCATGCTCCTGGTGCTCTCAAACCTTTTTTGAATGGATTAACACAAACAAAGGGTTTCTTGATTATTGCAGCATGGCCCTTGCTATTAATCTGTCACCTGACATATTCAGCCAATGAATGCAGTCCAAACTAGGACAAAATAGTATGAAAGGGATGGTGCTAAAGGCATGTTTTACCATATACAATACAATGGCTGTAGTAGTTATGGTGCTTAGAGTACCCCTTTAAAATTTCCAAGATACCATTTTTTTCCCGTGATCTTTAGTATTCACCATATTTACTCGAGGCATTGTATTAAGAGATCTGTTTATCTACCACGTCTTTCTGCACATTCATCATACAACCCCATATAACATTGCAAAGTTTATTTAATGGGAATCAGCAGCTTAAGCTGCCTAAATATATCCTGTAAAAAATTAGTAAAGTGAAAGCAAATGTATGCCTTGAGAATAAAGTTCCTTTCTTTTGCTAATCTTTGACTTTGACCCTATAAAATGTTAAACCATGAAGGCCAAACAATTTCTGCCCTTTAAATAATTGTAGGCATTTTCCTAAATAAATGTAACCACTTGATTGTTTAAATTAAACGGTAATAAAATGTTGAAATTGTTCGAAGGCATGTTGTATAAATTATCGCTGCAGCTATACTTCTCCAGGAGGTACCTTTTATCTCCTCTTTAACGAGAAGTGAAAAGTCTGGGTTACTAAACAAAAAAAACAAAAAAACAACAAAAAATAAAAAAAACATTTTGTTGCCCAGCTTCAGCTAATAAATACTTTATAGCGGTTGCCTGTACAATATCTGGAATTTCTAAGAAAGCTTGATATAAAAACTGTTTGATAGTTATAATACTGCTCTAAACCTGGCATTAAGTAAAAACAAATCGCATACAATAAAATTGTTTTAGAAGTTTATTATGATCAAAATTCTTTTTTTCTGTTTAGGGACCACTCAAACAAAATGTCTTACTTTTACAACTTTATCAGGACAGATAATAACTTGTAACATTCTGCAAATCTTTGACTTAGTCATTACTTTTTAGTGCTGAAGAGATTTGCTACGGCTCTAAAATGTATAATGGGTAGTGTGTGGTATAAATTACAGATCTTTTGTTTCTTTTACCATTTTGTTTTACATTATATACATATATACTATATATATATTTATACATATATATGTGTGTGTATGTGTATTAATATACTTGTAATAATATACTTGCATGAAATATTTGAAATATTTCTAAATCTGTTTTACATCTTTTTCTTTCTTAAAAGGATGGGATTGGAAGCTCTGGTTGAGTCGTATGCCTTTTGGAGACCATCGCTTAGGACTCTCACATTTGAAGATATACCGGGAATCCCAAAACAAGGTACAACATGAAATGACAGCTTATCACATATAAGGTTGCATATTATTTTAATAAAAGGATACAGAATGATCAGTTGCTAGCCAACAGATGTGAATATACATAAAACAGGAACCCCATAGCAATAATAACAACTTGGTAACTCTACAATTTTGCCAGAAGACCGAGCAGTCACTGTGAGGCACTGTGTATATCGAAATAATAATTGCGAAATAAACATACTTACTATGTATTTAAAATATCTGTTTTTGTTTAAAAATAGTTGTTCACTTTGATATAGGTTTATGCAATTTGGGAAATCAGTTTAGTGGTTACAATTATCACTCAGTAGTCTTGGGTTATAGTGTGTTCAGTTCATTGGGAAAGCCTGGAACATTTTAGAGCTATAATCCTTTGTTTTACACATATTTCCTATTAATACATTTATTTTGTAGGTGGTCCTGGAACGTCTTCCTTACTATCAGGATCTGGAACTAATCATCCTCATCTTCTGCCTGGTTCACCTTGCTCCTCTCCTGCCTTCCACCTGAGTGCGAACACCAGTCAACTCTGTGGACTTTCTCCAGCAGATTATTCATCTTGTGGGCGATCTGGCCTTGCACTTAACAGATATAGCTCTTCATTAGCTGACACTTACAGCAGACTTACAAACTCTTCAAGTGAAACATTTGCCACTCCAAGGACCCCTTCATATGTTGGGATGACAACCTCTTCAACAGTTAACATGTCCATGGCTGGAAGTGACAGTGATGCTTTTGGATGTCCTCAAACAAGTTTATCAATGCAACTTTCAGGAATGTCTCCTCAGCTCCAGTACATCATGCCTTCTCCAACAAGTAATGCGTTTGGTAACAGCCAGACCCACCAATCACCCTACAACGCATTTAGACTACACAGCCCTTGTGCTTTGTATGGATACAACTTTTCTACATCTCCAAAACTGGCCTCTAGCCCTGAAAAAATTGTCTCTTCACAAGGAAGTTTTCTGGGTTCTTCTCCTAGTGGAACTATGACTGATCGGCAAATTCTCCCTGCTGTTGAGAGTGTGCACCTCCTCGGTAGTGCAGGGCAACAAAATTTCTTTGACTCTAGAAGCCTGGGGAGTTTAACTTTGTCTTCTTCTCAAGTATCTGCACATATGGTTTGATGGAGTGTGCATTACAAGCACATTTTAATTTTAAATAACAAACTTTATTTTCTTATATTTTATGAAAAATGCACTAAATGGCTCCTGATAATCAATTTTTCCCATTTCAGTTGAATTTCACACATATATGTAAATGTTTTCATTCACTAATATAATTAAGGCTATTCAAAACTGAATAAGGTGATTTTCAACAAGATGGGTAAACCAACTTCTTTGTTCTCACTTATTTACCGAAAAACTTCGGTAAAAATATATATAGCAATGTTTTTTTTCCTCTCTGTTGGAGAGTGGTACAAAATTTCATAGCACTGTGGAAATTAATAAATATATATCTGCAAACGCTTTTTACAAAAACTTTTCATCCTTATGTCTTTCGGTACTTTGATGAGGTCTTTATTGTTCAATGGCCTTATTCTGGTATAAAATTCCATATCATTAATAGCAATTAAAATAGACTACTTAAAGCAATGGGTTTTAAGAATTATTCCAACAATTGTTTGTGGCTTTATTTAGGTTTAGTAAATACTGTAAAAACAAAACAAAAAACAAGACGATTAATCATAATAAAACCAAAACTATTAAAACTATTAAAAAGAGAACAGAAGAGTACAGAAAACTTTTGGAAAAATAAGATGTAGCACCCATATCTATACACAATACAGTTAATAAATATATCTAAATTTTAATAGAACATTATTTATAGTGAGTTGTGTTGTGTTGGAGATTGTACTTTTTATGTTCTTTAACAGAGCTAACTTTGGCTCCTTGGGAACCAAGTAAACTATTGAAAAATATCTAATTCCGATACATTGCATAGTCAGTAACCAAGTCACCGTAGCTTGCAGCATATTGAATACAATTATTTAGAGAATAAACCTTACTGCACCCGTGATTTGTATAGTTTAATGCTTCACATCTACTACTTAGCGCCTGTCTTTTTTTCACTCAGTTTTCCCCTCAAATAATCATTATGCTCTCTCTGTTGTTACTTGCCTTAATTTATATCTATTATTTTTTTATTTCTTATGCCAAATCTCAATATCTGAGAGCAGCCATTGTGTTCTCTTCTGTCCACGATGTCTGCAGTTGGCTCTTCTGTTTGATAGTTTTTACTGAAAGATTATTGGTGAACTTGATTGGCATTAAAAAATACATATCTTTAAGCGCTACACTATTATCTTGTATTTTTTTAATGTTTCTAGAGTGTTTCTGCGGTTGACATTAAATAGTGGTTAGCAGCTCATACATTTAAGATATTCTGACATAAATTATTATTTTTTAAATGCCTTTTCTATATTTTTATATCAATGAACTTGATTGGCAGTTGAAACAGAACCTTGCTTTAAGCTCTGCACATTGTCAAGTTTTGTCAACTTGACTGATATACATAAGAAAATGTAGTCCCCACTCTTCTTTTATGTATTTTACAAAAACTATATCACTAAAAAACATATATATATATATACACAGACACAGGAGCTATTTGGAATCAAATTATAAAATGTTTCTATTTGGTGACAGAGCCACTTTAAGAAGTTTTGATCTATATTGCATCCAATATCACCTGTATCAAATCAAAGAAAAATAAAAAAGAGCTCATTACACATCAAACTGTAGCAAATTGAAACCTAAACTGAAAGTTAAAAAAACAGCTAAGTAGTTACTGTAGTTAAGGTTAAGCATCTTTAAAAATATTTTTTTTGCCTAAACTTTTTTTTTTCCATATCACTAAAATTAGAGAAAATATCTTCTGTACATTATTCAAGCACTGAAATATGTCATACAAAGAAGATCAGAGTCCATGTTTGATATTTAGATATCCTATATGTACCATCTAGGTTATGAGTGTTATTAGCCATTTAAATAAATGCATACATAAAAATATAATGTACTTCATACAAGTGGTGTTTGCTTAAAATATAAGTGTGGGGCATCATTCTCATAGCAGAGTAAGGTTTTACTGAAGTACTGAATAGCAATTAATCAAATGAACTCTGTATGAAAAGCAAGCAAAATAAACCCTAATAGAATTTTGCCCATTGTGTTTCCTGACACATAGTTTTGAACATGTGCAAATATTTGGTATGTGTAACCAAACATCGCTTACATCTGCCATTACCCAATTTAGCTGGTAGTGAATGAAACAAACAATGCAGTACATTTGCATCCAAAGGAAGCGTGTGCTTGTCAAGTGCAAAATTTTTTTATGATTTTTGTCACTGCCATGCAATAAAACACACTAAGTAGATTTTTGGATTTGAAAGCATAATCATTAGTGCAACTTTTTTGTTTTGTTTGTTTGATTATAATACATGCCTCCTAAAAGTTGTAAAATTTAAGATACCTGTAGCAATTAAGAACAGTAGGACTAAATAATCTAATAAACTAGTGGTCAAAAGAGCCATCACAGTGGTGCTTGGAATGAAAGAAAGAGTTTATAATTTAGATAAAAAAGGGGCACAAGAAAAGATGCTATGAACAGATAACAGCATCTTAAAGATAATGTCATAAGATGGCACCATTATCTATGGGCATAAGATGCAATCAATATATTGTACCAGGCAGTACTAGTAAATATACAGGATCTGTACAATAATTAGCAAGTTATGGTGAATTTTTAATAACTTAATGTAAAGGTTTTACTACTTAAACCTCATCCCTTTTCTCTGTCAATGTAAAACATTGCTATAATTTCTGAGAAATAGCAATGTTTACATTTGTCAAAGAACACACCTCTGGTGACTGTCAGACTGACATCGACTACAGGTACTTCCTGTTTAAGATCTTTGACTTTTAAAGGTATTTATATTTGGGTCATCACGCACAGCAAATGCTTCAAGTTCTCATAGCGTAGCATTGGATTCACTTTGTCTCTTTGAGAAGCATCAGATTTATGAACCATGAGAAGCATTGGATTGGCCAGAGATCTGCTTCCTTGAAGAATGCACATATATATAAAATATAGGACAAGTTAGCTTTTTCAAAACTCTGCAGATGTGTTTTATTTTAATATGAACATTTTAAGAATGTTCATCTCCTCAACGCACAAATTAGCAAACAGATAGCTCTAGGTTTTTCCTTTGTTTAGGTATTCGTCTTTACCATTATGTAGTGGGCAAAGAAAAAAAAAATACTCATATGACTGTTGTAGTTGATTTACATGCATTGTTTTACTTTCATAAACCTAATGCCAACTTTCTGTAATATTTAGCATGCAAGTGTTCAAATTGCAGTGTCATTATGATAGACACTAATGAAAACTTCAGTCAATAAAATTTAACATAAACATTTTCTAGAACCATATGTATTACATTTACATTTTTACCTTAAGTAATACATTTATCAAGGATAGAGAAACTTTAAAAAAAATGTATATGTAAAGTTTCCTGCATACTTTTTTGGATGATTTAAAGAAGACAGATTTCAACGGTGGTCCTTATAGTCCTACGCATCTTAAACCTACTGTAAAATACTTGTGAACCATTGTGCTACAAAAACAAAGATGTTTATTGTGCTTACAAGATTTTCAAATAATTACAAAGCAAGAATGAGTAGACTGTCCAGATCATCAAGTGAATTTCTTCCAAAGTCTTCTGTCACTTACGTTCAATATGTGATATGATTTTAAGATGGAATTCCATTTTTGGAGTTGTGTACAGTTGTAATTATGATGATGAGGTTTCTGTTTTATAAATATTTAGATTTTACTATCACATCTTTCTTAATTGAGTGATCATTCATGTATATAATGCACTTCTCTTGTCACTAACTGTTTCCCAAAATGGTGCCATCAAGAACTTTTTTGAAAGATTAGTTTTTATAATGCACTTTTTAATAACGTGATTTGTAGTATTGCACCCTAAAAGGACTTGTTTGCTAATGAAAAAGATATCCATGCATAGGATAAAATTCTGAGAAACAACTGTGCTTTCATTTTGACTATTTATCCTTTCAGTTATGCTAACTGTAAAAGACTGTACTTTGATCTTTAGTTTTTACCTTTGAGTAAAATATCTTTTCCATGAAACTGTAAATGTCCTAGTAACATCAATAAAGTTCAGTATGGATGCTGCAAATTAAAACACATTTTGAAATCACAATGATGTAATTTTCAGCAGTAGAAGTCGTTGTGGTTTTAAATATATGACCTAGGACTACCAGGATATTAGTATCAGTCAACTGATGAACAAATCAAGAAATAAATAATTAAGGGAATATGAAGTCTGTCTGGAAAAAGTTCAGTCATTGTTAATATAATGAGAATGGTCTGCACGACATCAATGTAACCTGGCAGCCAAGGAGAGTGGACTGGAATGCGCATGCGCGAACAATGATGACTTTAGTGTAATAGGCAGTGGGGGTGCCTGACGCCGATGAGTGAGCATGTCTACTATGTGGCTGCTGCATTCAAATCCCTGAGCAAATAGAGCAATGAATCTGCAGCAAATTTTGTGTTAAGCTTGAACATTCCTCTGCAAAAAATATTTGGGTGATTCAGAAGGCTTCCATGGACTATGAAGTGAGTGAAGGGCAAATAAAAGTGGGGCACAAATGCATCAATGATGGTCGAGAATCAGTTGAAAGATTTTGCGCCCTGCGACTTCTCGCTTTTCCCATAACTAAAACCATCTTTGGAAGGGAAGAGATTTCAGACATGCTCATCCTTTCATATGTCAGTGGATTTACATATGCTTCCTACTTGTCAATTCCTAAGTCAGGCTGCAAAAGATGATAACATACAATTGTGACACTGATAAAGAAATTAGATTAGTGGTGCATATGAATCAATGTTTGCATGCCAAGAGACGTGCCCATATTTGAAACTACTCATGATTGGTTTACATAAGAAAACCTAGGTAATATAGAATGATTTTTCTAATAAATAAACGTATACAGTATCTGGGAATTTTTGAATAATGCGTATTGTGGCAGACTGCCTGGTACCCCACCTGGGTACCTTTGCTAAACGTGCTCCCTAGTTATCACCGAGCTACCATAAGCACTTCGCCGGGACACCATAAGCACTTCCAGCCGCAGCTTGGCTAGGGTCTCGCCTCCTCTTCCCACCCTGGACCAGGGTCCTGGATCCAGCTCCCAGTGGCTAGAGCTCTCCTAACAGAGAGTATAGCAGGTATAGCAAGAAATAGAGCAGTATAGCATTCCCTCCCAACACATTAGCCAAGACTTAATGCTGGGAAGTGATCTGTGTAATGGAAGGGCAGTCACAGAATTTATACAAAAAATGTTCCTGTACCAGGACCCTCTATATGTTAATTCCACCACTGTCTGTCAGTCAAAGTTCATGTTGGTCTTAAACAGGAAGAGGTGTGGCCTTGACAGGAAGAGCAGGACAAATTTTAACTAAAGGGCTGCCTGAGTTTCTTCATGCCTAGAGCTGCACAAATCCTAAATACACCACTGTTTTTAATGTCCAAACAGTATTTTGATAATATATTCTCATAGGAAATAACCCAGCCTGAAACTCTATAATTTGTGAAAACAATATCAGCAGAATAGAGTGCTTTCTGTATTAAACACAAATAAAACACTTCCAAAATTTCCAAAAGGATAGAGGATATCAGTAGTAAAACTCCTTATGTATAGCTCTGATGACAGCAACCCCCAGTACAGTAATGATCCAGTAGGAAACCAGACAAGTGCTGTCTCCTACATGATCCTACATTCTGCAAGATTGTGAATACCAGACAGAGTCCGTAGTGTGCTTTCTAGCACTAGCCGCCAAAGCCAGGATGGGTGTCAAGGCCTAATGCATTTGATTGACACTTCTACTAAATCAGAGGCATGTTGCAAAATTAAACAGTACTATCTTCTAAACATAACAACACATGGTTCATACATCAATCAGGGATCAGACAACTTTAAAGTGACAGTCTAAATGCAGATAAATTAAAATATAATACAAATTCCATAAACATATCAAATAAAAAGCAAATAAGAACACATTTTAGATGGGATTCCAATAGTTAAAGGATCACTATAGGGTCAGGAACACAAACATGTATTCCTGACCCTATAGTGTTAAAACCACTATCTAGCCCCCATGGGCCCCTCATGCCTCCATCTATTGTATTCAAGCTTGAAGTTGTAACTCTGCATGCTGTTTGCCTCAGAATAACAAGCAGTCTGCTGACATCATTAGAAGTGGTGGCCTGATCCAATCACAATGCTTCCCCATAGGATTGGCTGAGACTGACAAGGAGGCAGATCAGGGGAAGAGCCAGCATGATTCAAACACAGCCCTGGCCAATCAGCATCTCCTCATAGAGATGAATTAAATCAATGAATCTCTATGAGGAAAGTCCAGTATCTGCATGCAGAGGGAGGAGATACTGAATGTTTGGATGCACCCAGGAAGGATCTCTAACAGACATCTGAGGAGTGGCCAGTGAAATTATCACTAGGCTGTAATGCAAACACTGCTTTTTCTCTGAAAAGGCAGTGTTTACAGCAAAAAGCTTGAAGGTAATGATTCTACTCACCAGAGCAAATTCAATAAGCCATAGTTGTTCTGGTGACTATAGTGTCCCTTTAAACAGAGACCTGATGGTTAATGAAGGAGGGAAACAGTCAAATTAAAAAAGTATCTATACAATCCTACTTTAAATCAGTATATTAAAAAAGAAAATAGGAGAAAGAATCATAAAAGTTAAAACAAACTGCAAACTATTACTGTAAATGCAGCAAAAACCGTCTACATAAAGATATATAGTAGATCTGCCCCAAAGCTGCCATGAAACCGAAGAGAACCACACTAACATAGCTAAATAGATAGTACAGTGAGGGAAAAAAAGTATTTGATCCCCTGCTGATATTGAACATTTGCCTCCTGACAAAGAAATGATCAGTCTATAATTTTAATGGTAGGTATATTTTAACAGTGAGAGACAGAATAACATAAAAAAAAATCCAGAAAAAAAGTTATAAATAGTGATGTCCCGAACGGTTCGCCGAACGGTTCGCCACGGACTCATCATTGAGTAAACTTTGACCCTGTACCTCACAGTCAGCAGACACATTCCAGCCAATCAGCAGCAGACCCTCCCTCCCAGACCCTCCCACCTCCTGGACAGCTCATTCCAAGAATGCAGCTTCACAATGAATGTAAAATGGATGCTGTCCAGGAGGTGGGAGGTCTGGGAGGGAGGGTCTGCTGCTGATTGGCTGGAATGTGTCTGCTGACTGTGAGGTACAGGGTCAAAGTTTACTCAATGATGAGTCCGTGGCGAACCGTTCGTGGCGACATCACTAGTTATAAATTAATGTCAATGAGTGAAGTAAGTATTTGATCCCCTATCAATCAGTAAGATTTCTGGCTCCCAAGTTCTTTAAGAGATTGCTCCTAATCTCAGCTCATTACCTGTATAAAAGACACCTGTCCACAGAAGCAATCAATCAGATTCCAAACTCTCCACCATTGCCAAGACCAAAGAGCTGTCCAAGGATGTCAGGGACAAGATTGTAGACCTACACAACGCTGGAATGGGCTACAAGACCATCGCCAAACAGCTTGATGAAAAGGTGACAACAGTTGGTGTAATTATTTGCAAATAGAAGAAACACAAAATAACTGTCAGTCTCCCTCGGCCTCTTGGTCCATGCAAGATCTCACCTTGTGGAGTTTCAATGATCATGAGAACAGTGAGGAATGTGTGTCAGTGTGTCAGTGAAGACACACATTAAGGTCCTGGAGTGGCCCAGCCAGTCTCCAGATCTTAATCCCATAGAAAATTTGTGGAGGGAGCTGAAGGTTCGAGTTGCCAAACGTCAGCCTTGAAACCTTAATGACTTGGAGAGGATCTGAAAAGAGGAGTGGGACAAAATCCCCCCTGAGATGTGTACAAACCTGGTGGACAACCACAAGAAACGTCTGACCTCTGTGATTGCCAATAATGGTTTTGCCACCAAGTACGAAGTCAAAGGGGTCAAGTACTTATTTCACTCATTTACTTGCAAATCAATTTATAACTTTTTTTTAATGAATTCTTTATTTAGAAATGTTTTAGTTTGTCAGAGATTGGGAATACAGAAAAAAAGAAAGGGAAGTGGGTACATATCAATAGAAGTAAAAATTTTTTATATAAAAAAGGAAAAGTATAACTCTTGAATGTACAGCTTAAAACATTCATGCATGTAATATAAACATCTAGCTAAATCAATATTGCATGTGAAATCAGGTACAAACAGGTAAATTTAGTAGAGCAAAAGACAACGTGGCTGTGGTGCTTCTCCTCATGTACAGTAACAATCAAAATAGATGAATCAAGGGGTAGCGAGTACCTAGGAAAGGAGCGGGTGAGGGGTAACATTTTCGCAGGGTAGGGGGTTGAACTCAGAGAGGGTAGGGATGCATCGCGGGTTGAGCCCACGGTGCCATTATTGCATGGGGGGTTGTTGGCCCCTCTGGTGGTGCCTCTTAAATGGTAGTTAGCGGCATGTGATTTAGTTCTTTTTTTCCTCGTTCCCCCACTTTTTTCCCCCTCTCCTCCTCTTTCCTTTTAGTATATAAAACCTTTAGTTGTTGGTTCTTGTTCATGCTTTTCTCCTTTTACAATATAAAGTTTAGGGGGATTAGGGAGTGCAGAACAAGGAAAGTGAAGAGGGCACATATCATGTGGAGGTTACCGTCTTAGAGTTAGCCTGACTGAAAAACTTAATGTAAGGATGAATAGTTGGGTTGGGCAACATCGCAGATCAGGTGATTGTTAGACTTATACAGCGTAATGTAAAGTTACCATTGTGATAGTTGACTTCTTATTGCATTATTTCAGAAGTGGCAGCAACCGAGTTGCGATGTCTAACTATATCTGTACCTAATGTGTTTTAAATAGCTTCAGTAATCTGGTGGTTAAGGATAAGTGGTTGGTGTTCTTGTATGTCAGGTTCCCTGTGTGTGTTTAACGTCGTTTCAGTACGTGTAGCGGCTTTTGCCATGGGAGGGGATAGATGTAGATGAGGGATGGGAAGGAGAAAGAGTGGGAACTAGAGAAGAGAAGAAGATAGAGAGAAAAATGGGAAGGAGAAGTGGGGGAATTTAGGGGAGTGAAGGTGGAGTAAGATGGAGG